TTTATACTGTTGTAAATGTATCGTTTATTAGGATATTTTTGATGTAATAATATTAATTATAATGTAGATATAAAAATATCGAGCTCGTGTACTAGAAGTTATTCAATGAAATCGAAATATATAGTGTCAAATGCATAACTGATATCAAACTGATATTCTCTTACACATATAACAACGACACTAATTTGTTACCTTTCAGGTGCATATCAGATATACGTAAGCAAATTGAAATTAAATTTGCTTTTATCATTTCGTGTCAAATACATATCGATATATGTCAATTGAAATTGAAATTATGTTATGTTTCTGCAATGAAAATTATATTTAAACGTGCTGTATGGAATAGTCTGTCTAGCAGGCTTTGTTATATTTCTGACAGCAATTTGCTGACAATGTCAGATAATACAAATTCTGTATATAATTGGTGCCTTTCTGCAATCAAAAATTGGTAATGGGCTTTGTTCAAAATCTGTCTCCACAGGCTTTGCTATCAGAGTATGTACATACATAAATAAAAATTGCCACTTTTTACGTTTCCGCTCGAGAGAATAGTATCTAGTATGCAGCTAGACAATACATATAATTTGTTTACTTAAAAAAAGTAAGCGTTATCATATTAACGTTATTAAAAAATGTAATGTTAATTGTTTATACCCATTTATTACTGAAAAAAAATAAGAGTAAATGATAATGACGTTACAATTAAGTAATGCGTTATTTCCCAACCTTGAATTTATTCAATCATTCATATACTGATCGCATTGATACAAACAGGGGTGGCGAAGTAAAATTTTTCAGTGTATAGAGCTCCCGAGGATAGATTGAGGGAGAGAAGAGAAAGGTGGGGGGGATAAATATATTTCCTTATACATATCTTTTTTACATGGCAAAAATAGCCGCTCTAATTTTATTTTTTTTAAATAAAACTATTAATGAGCTCTTCTATATTTAACTTATATATACTATATTTAACTCGGCTATTTTTCGATAAATGTACAATGATAAATGTGCAATACGATTTACATTTTTATTTCATTGTTGATCGAAGATAACTTTTTAAATGTCTTAAATATTATAAGAAAATGATCTTTCATTCGAACAAGTTGAAGGAATCGTTAAAAGAACGAATAAATTTTACATATTCTGATACAAGATCTCTGATCTCGAGATTGTCACGTAAAAATTGCATTACATCCTTCAAGCAATGCAGTGGCATTTTTCGTATGTTTGTAATTTCTAAATTACAATTTCTAATTTCTAAATTTCTCCCCGACTAAATATCATACAGATATGAAATTCAATGTATGGAATTCCATACATAGAATCATTCAGTGTATGGAGTACTCCATACCAACTATACTGGAGTCGCCACCCATGGATACAAACCAGTTTCCAAAATGCGGGCGGGAGCGCGCTTCATGCGGAAACGTCGTTTGAACGGACTTCCTCTACCTACTCACATCCGGTTCAATTCCGCGCGGAACTAATTATGAGGGGAAAATGGGAATGGACACTAATGACAGGCGGATAGATCGAGAAAATTGACGTAGAATATAGAGTGAAAGGTGCGTTAGCTTATATAGAATCGGCCACGCAGGGTGGATTCGTCGCGACCGGGATCGCAAGGAGCGAAAAGAAAAAGAGAGAGAGAGAGAGAAAGAGAGAAAGCGGTGAATAGACATCGTGAGTTTTTTAACATTTGCAGAGAATGGCGAGCCGCGACGAGTTGGTCTCGCAATTCGCGGATGTAACTGGTGTTGACGCCGAGAGAGCGCTATTTTACCTTGAGTCATCCGCTTGGCAGCTCGAGGTGAGACAGCACATTTTACGAAACGCATCGGGGACCGAGGCTTTTCTCTCATTCGTACGCGACGCGCTCCGCAATAATCTCGGCACCAGTTTTATAACCTGTTGTCGCATCCGTTATAATGCTCTTATCGTTTGCCCGGCGGCTCGGCCGTTGTCGTCTTCCCTGACGTTTACACTCGCGTCGTACCCTGACGCATTCGCTTTCGTTTAGCTCTCACGTAGCTCCTATAAACTCACGATAAGTTCGTGACGACGGTAACCATTATCGGCGGGATATAAGATTACAAGTTTGTCGAAGCTTGACCCGTCGTACCACTGTAAGGTTTCTTCGTGTAATGAGATTGTCGAAATTTTCTTCGACAATCTTATCACACGCATTGGCACGTAGTTTCTTTGTAGGTTGCCTTGACGAGTTTCTATGAAAATGATGAGCCAGCTGAACTAGTGTCCGAGACTATCGATATAACGCAGCAAGCGGAAGGATCAGAAGATAATAAGGGCGCAATGTCGGATAAGCAAACGAAATCTGACTCGACGGAGTCGAAGGGTACCAAATCCAAGCCCAGATTTGGAACATTAAACGATCTTCAGAGTAGTGACAGCAGTTCTGAAGAGGAAGAGGGTCAGGCATTTTACGCAGGCGGTTCTGAACACAGTGGACAGCAAGTTCTAGGACCAGGAAAGAAGAAGAAAGATATTGTCAGCGACATATTCAAATCATGTCAAGAGCAATCTATCGCTGCAGATCCCCCAAAACTAGGAGGTCAACAAAGGCCGAATACGTTCATAGGCACGGGATATAAATTAGGTCAAACTAGCTCGGATAGCGAAGGTATTTTCAAGTGTTTATTTTGCAAAAGATTGACGCAAAATTGATAAACAAATGTTTATTACAATTTGTATGTAATAATAGTGGTAATGGGAGCAAATGTAGATCAACAATCTTCAAGCGGTCTTATTATATTAAAACTGTGGAAAGATGGATTTACAATAAATGATAGTGAGATACGATCGTACGAGGAAGCTGAAAATAGAGGCTTTCTAGATGCCATTAAACGAGGTGAGATCCCAGCAGAGATTCGTCAGCAGGTACAAGGTGCAGAAGTTCGACTCGATATGGAGGATCATCGTCATGAGACTTATGTTCCACCGAAAACCAAAGTGAAAGCCTTCTCTGGAAAGGGGCACATGTTAGGAAGGTACGGCTAAAGATTTATTTTATTATTATTAGGAATCAGATCCTGTAATTGATCTCGAATTTGATTTCTGTATTTCTTAAATTCTATTTCTGTAAATAACAAATATTTTAGTCCATCACCAGCTACTGTGGGCATGACGGTTCCAACAGATCCTGCTGATCAAGCAGCCAATGAAGCGCAAGCGAAAAAAGAACTAGATCTAGATGCTTCAAAGCCAACTACAACATTACAAATCCGTCTTGCAGACGGCAGTATTGTAAAGGCTCAATTTAACCTATCGCATACAGTCGCTGATCTTAGACGATATGTAATAACGTATCCTTTAATTTTAAAATGTTTTTAATTGTGCTTACAACTTTTCTAAGTTAGTCGAAAGATTGAAAGAAAAGAGTTTTTCTTAACGTATAATACCAGTATGAGACCTCAGTATGCTTTAAGGGATTTCAGTTTATTAACCGTATATCCAACAAAGGAACTTGCGGAAGATAAAACTATTGAAGAAGCTGGTTTACAAAATTCGGCTATAATGCAACGACTGAAATAAACTTTTTTTAAATTCTTAGATTGATGTAACGATTAGATACCAAATATATGTTAAATCGCTTAAAAATAAAATTTCTATGTATTTTTATTAGGAATATAGAACCTTTTTTTTATATGTTCTCTTTTCTTTTATCGTATATCACCTAGTTCCTATGATTGCGTATATTAATTTTAAATTCAACAATATTTAAAATTTACTATAAAAGTCTAAAAACTAGATTAGCTAAGTTTTTTTAATTTAATTTCCAATAAGCATTAATTAAAATTTTTATATCTAATAGAATTGTTTTAATGTATGTTGTCGATACATTCGCTCCCATATAACGCAAAGTTCAAGATGGAGACGTCTTTTAGACAATTTTTGCAAAAATGTTACATAAGACATCTTGTATTTTGGATTTTTGTTGTCTGGGCTGCTATAATTATGTTACAACATAAAAAATACAAAGATGTGGAACAGTTGGAAGTAACAAGTAGGAATGCTTTATTACAGCTTAAGTTTAAAACTTGAAATGTGTACAAAATATTAAAATAGCTGATAATGTTATGACTAGTTGTATAACTATGATGATTAAGGCACCTAATATGAAAGACGGCATATAATTATGAAATATCTATATATGTATGAATGAAATAGTATGCAAGTGGAGCACTATCCAAGCTTGTGCAAATATTAATTTAATATTAGTCACATAAAATTCCATATCACTTTATATCCGCATCAAGCAGTTTGTAAAGTCCAAGATATTTTCTAAGGATTGACGAGTTTTGTATATCTTGGGCAAATCTCAAAATTGTGACATCTTCTACTTCTTGATTCTCTTTATAATTATCACAATACATGTATTGATTCACAGCAACCAAATCATTTCCTATCTCTTTTACATACACATGAGAATTCTGCAATGATACGTATGGCTTGTGTATGTAAATAGAACGATTTTTCAGAGCGTTTATATCAGTTCTAGTTTTCTTCAATACTGTCAGTGTAGAATTGGCATATTGTTTATTGTCAACTTGCTGCGTACAAAAAGTCATAGTTTTGAGCTTGTAGCGATCGGCTATTAATTTAGTTTGTTTGAAATCTGCCAACAAATCGATCATTGCATGATGGTACTTCAAGTTTACATACTCGTTCCATGAGAGAGCAATAACATAAGCAACTTTGTTGTATGTACGATATAAACAATCTGTTTCAATGATTTCTCTTATGATATTTTGATCAATCTCCATGAAAGGGAAGTTCCATGGTATAACGGTATATGTAAATTTCCAAAAAGAAGTTGGATCGTTTGCCATTTCTTTTAGTCTACTATTAAATTCATTTGAAATTCCAGAATCATATATGATGAAATTATCCATACCGATCAATGCATGGAAGCTGATGAAACCTATCATATCTATTGATTTTGTTGGTTTCATTGATGATTGTGTCAAACACACTCCTATCCTACTGTGGCTTAAGCTCCGTGGCTGTATTTTTATGGGAAAAATAGGTGCATAATTAAGATATTTGTTAGACTTTGTAACAAATGTTATTCCAGTGGGGGTTTCATCACTAATGTATGTACAAACAAAATGATATCCTCCATATCTTGAATTTTCTCCTAAACTTAAAGTAATTGCATTGCCAATGGGAATAAATCTAAAACTCCCCAGTATAGGTTTACTCTCATTTTCAAAGAAGACAAGGCATTGCATATTTGAGACACTGTTTATGGTCCCAAGTCCAACTACCCGTATTTCCTTTTCATTGATGCTGTATGCAGAATATATATACAAATCATCCTCTAGGCGTTGCCAAGAAGGAATCGGTTCATCGAATTTTGTATTGAATATGGTGAAAGTTGTATTAAAGTTCGTACAACCTGCATCTGCTGTTCTTGGCCCAGGTTTCCCGAAATAATTAAAAACTTCTAAGACATACCTCAACTTGTTATATTCATGTCTATAGATGAGCAGAGATATGAGGCTTACTACTGCTGTAACAGCTAAAGCAGCTTGGTAATATTTTCTCATATTGTCGATGGTTATATTCTTAATCTTATATAACGTTGTTTCTCAAGACTAAGGTAAATTTTTTACGTACTGCATTTCATAATCATTCTGAAATCATATCCAAAGATCATTCTAAAAGAAAAAAATAAACAGATATATGTCACCTAACCTCATATATTTGTAACTATTATTACATGCACACAATTATGAGTATTTCTTACTCTCTGTTTGTATCTCATTATTTTAGCTGAAATTATTATTCCTCGCTAGTGAGCGTCTCATAACCATAAATTGCTCGTTATTCGAGGTCAACTTTTTTGATTTCTCTCTTTGAAACGTCACGTCTTCAATATGAATCGAGATTATTACGATATTTCAGATAAATTTTTTTTGTATAATCTTTTAATGATTTGCTTAAATTGTAGTACACAACGTTAAAAAATGTAACATGCACATGCATTACATGCATTATCACTGTGTGTTGTGTGCATCATAGTGAATTGTGCGCGTAAATTCATTGTTCTGATTGGCTGTTGGATAGTGAATTTTTAGAGTCCTAAGAACTTTTCCGAAAAAGCGCCAATTATAAAAATTGTTCTAAATTTTTCTTACGAAGTGCAAAAAAGCGGGAAAATGTAAGGAAAAATCAATAAGATATGAAAATTCTTATAATTATTATATAAATACAATTTTTTTACATGTATGTGTATACTTTATACAATTGCATACTGCTCATATAATAACTCTCGCACTTTATAATAATCCTCGGAAATGCAACCTTCCAATATTACCTTTCCAGCCTCATGCTAAAATAAACACAATAATTACTTATTTAATTATAATATTTTTTAAAGTAATTATACTTTTATAAATATATTTTCAAATATATTTTTGAATAAAAGTGCAAAATGTATATATATGCAATATGAATAAAATAATTTTTACTGATTACAAACAAAACAAACCCTTCTGACGGCGATAGTATTATTACAACACCATAGTACTCCTCCACTAAATTCTGATGGAATGTTACTTTTGTTCAAAACCTGTTTAAAATCGGATAATTTCAATTCATTTATGAACGTTGTTTGATGACCAGGAACCTGTAAAAGTACAATTTATGATGTAAATTAAATTTTTACATTTTCTCAACTATATATCTCACTTCATTTAATGGCAAAGGTTCCAAAGTCAGTATTTTGTCACTTTCATCAATTGCATTCTCAGATTCAGTATCGGCAATGGCATCTCGACAAACTTGATCACGTGCCGTTATCATAGCATCTATCCATGCCACTTCAGAGTCGCCCTTACCCTTCGAGAAATTCAATCCGCTCACTAAAGCATCAGTCAAACGTACCTATGATGAAAAATACATTTCACATAATGACATATCGACATTTTCTAATTAATTCAAATTAAAAAACAAAATAAGAAAAAAAAATTAGAATCATGTCATTTAATATTAATAGAAATAATAATTGAAAAAAAAAAGAGAAAAGATAATTACTTGATAAATATGTGTTTCTGTTGTGGCATCTAGTGTCTCTCCTCTGCCTGGAATAAATACTCTTGCACCGGTACTTTGCGCTTGCTGCGCTAGTATCTCTGTGTCTTTAGGCGAACCTCTAACTAAGACAACTCTTCTCGGTCTTAGTTGCGCCAAAATTTTCTGTAGAGATTCTCCGTCGGATCTACCTTCAAAATCTATATATGTTACTGCTGCATTAACGGTCATCATACGTGAAACTTGTACACATTTTGTCGGAATATCCACTGCTACTTCTGGATGATAATTGAATTCATCCTGCTTCATTTCTACATTCTCCTTATTATCTTCTACTTCAGGTACAGTTTCTGCTATTTTATAATCTTCCGGTCTGTAATAATAAGAGATAATAAAGTAGAATAAAAGTTTAATTACAGTTTATAATTAAGTACATATTTATTCGTAAAAATGAACAAATAAACAAGCAATAGATTATTGTTAAAATACAAATACATAGATGCAGATAATTGTTTTAATATATACGTATATACATATATACGTATATACATATACGTACATATATATATAAAATATTTTATATATACACATTGTATAGACTTTCGAAAGAGACTTGATGTATAATAGTAGAATTACTCTTATTAGATATTTTTATTGTATTTATTTAAATAGATTTTGTGGTGTATAAAAATATCTTTACTTTATAATTTCTCCATATTCATCTATTTTAATCTTTTCTTCTACAAATGGAAACATGGGATGTTGCTTTTTACTTTGTTTAAAAAAGCCAGGTTTACTTTCTTGCTTCACTAATAAATCATGCTTTCCCCTGCTACCACCAACTTCTATTTCATCTTCAGATTCAGAACTCACATCTGCAGTTTCCCTAATAAAACATATGTTACAAGTATAATTAGTAACATGTAAATTATAACTTAATGATAGATGAATATACATTATACAAACATCTGTTCTTGTTTCAGCTGTTCCTGCTTCAACTTTTCTCTTTTTTGATATTCTTCCAATTCAATACCTTCGAGTTTCACTCGTCTCTTTACTTCTAGTGTAATATTTCGATTACCTCCTTTCTCTACTAAGTCTCTAGCAAGTGTACCAGGAGATGTTCTGCTCGTTAATATAATACTGTTTTGTGGATTAGAGCACCATTGAAGAAATAATTCTCGGGAAAATCCACATTCCATATCAGGAGTGCTTGCAAGAACTACCTAAATATAATAATTTGAAATTAATTTTTAAATCAAACAATCTAAGAATAATAGAAATTTTAGAATTATAGAATTATTTTATTTACCTTTGGACTTGGGACTTGATTCAATTCAGCCATACTATGACAAAGTTGCAAATGTTTAAATTGAAATGGATTGTTACGTGCACCTTCAAAACTTCTCATTAATTTATCACTCATCCATTCAATTTGCGATTTTGCGAATTCTACAACATTGTAGCTCACATTGTTGAGAAGAGCTAATGAATAGGCAAGTAATCCAGATTCCTTATTACGCCACAGCTGATCTAACATATGTGCCAACTCCAATACACGACCAGCTGTATCTACACTAACTAGTACATTTCCACCGCCTCGTAATGTTTGCAAAATATTAGCTAAATAACACAAATGCAAATGAAAAATATATATATCTGTTAAAAACACATCTTCTACATTTATCTATTTAATTTACAATTTTAGAAAAAATAAGAAATAAAAAATATGAAATTTACTCATCAATTTCTCATCCCTTGTTCTTCGTCTAGCTTGCTGATATGTGGCATTGAATGCATCTGTTATCAATAATGATGGCCTTTGCAATCTTTCCAATTCACAGCCATTCAAGTGGCGTTCCTTTTTATGATTAAAATCTACAGCATATATTATATCCTCTTCCCCAACTTTCACGATCTTCCAAATTGTCCCACCAATCATGTGTCCCGCTGGTAAAGGTGTTAATGTAACACCATAACCTTTACCTTTCATTGATATACTTTGATTATATTTCAGCTGTACAATTTTATCAAATGCAGCATCAACGTCGTCTAAAGTAAATAGATCAAAATCTTCCATATTATGACGAGACTGAAAAATCAATATAAATAACTAAAATATTAGTATTGATCTAATATACATTTTTTATATTTCTGAGTATTAAAAGAACATACCTGATATATATCATACATAAACATTTGACCCATTTTATAGACAGGTATGGTAGCATATATTGGACAATTCAAGCCACATTTACCTACCAGGTATGGTAATGCACCTAAATGCAATGGGTCTGGATATGAAAGTAATACTGCATCTATTTGATGTACATGTCTAGAAACATAAAAAATAAAAGGAATAAATATATGAAAATTAAATAAAATATTTTTTGTTACAATAACAATTTTTTTCATGAACAGTGCACCTCTTCAATTCTTTTATGAAATCTTGATCGAAGTTTTCATCCCAGCCACAATCTAATAGTATCCTCAATTCATCTACTTGCAATATGTAGCAAGGCGGAGATTCGTTCATTGCTCCAGAGATAGCGTGAAGTTTTATAATAGATGTCATTTTTTGTATTTTTTTTAATATCAAATGCAAATCTCAAACGGTACCAGAAATATGTCAAGTATCGGTCGTTGTTTCAAGATTGTTTTAAATTGTTCCTTCAAACTTCTATCATCCTAACCTAAAAAAACATGACTTGTATTTTGCCGAATATAATGAATTTATACTAAACTCAGACTTGCATTACATCTGTATTAAATTTGAACTATTTATTAAAAATTTAGGGCAATAATATTAGAAAACAAAAGACAATACGGTTTGTATCTATGGTTATGATCAAAGTCTCGTTACAAATGCTTTGAAGCGTTTGATAGACCAATTAGAAGAAAGAATTTTACAAACTGACCAATTAAAAAGCGTTTGCAACATCGCGTTGACCATACCCTGTAACAATCATACAGATACCTAATTAAAGTCCCGATGCATAGCAAATGATAGCAAACTTCCATCATATAAAATATCAGGCTGCGCGGTAGTTTATTTTGAGTATATTCATCTAGGTGGCGCTTAGATTTTTTAACTACATATTATATAAACTACATATAAATCGTAATATCTTTTATGAAGAACAATAAAAAATCGATAGAAACATCGATAGAACATTAGAAATTGATAGAAGAATGACAGAAAGTGTGCAAAAAGAAACAGAATTTAAAAAGAATTTTAAATCATGTGAATTTTGTATTTTGAATGTAAAGTATA